AGGGTGATAAAATGGGTGGTCATAACAATACTGCTAGAGCTGTTTCGCACACTCTAGGGACTTGATTAGCACCTTCCTGGCTGATTTTTACCTTCTCCACATACCACCTGTATTATTATTTACATAATTTTTTTAAGTCAACTCACTTTTTAACTTAGTCTGGACTTAAGCCTTATCACCTTTAAAATCACAGGCTTGTCATGCTAGTCATGTTTTTTCCTACCCACATAACTATTAAAATGACAGTATATTCATTAATGTAAACCATTTCTTATGGTCCCAGAGTGGGATGGGTATGACTTCTTGGGAAAAATGGCCCAAGGGGGAACCAATGACATGGCAGAAGCCCCTTGTTCACGTGGAGGGGACTTTCTTACAACCTGACTCGGCTGTCCTTTCAGGGCCTGGGCCCAGACCTGGAGGGCAGTGTCCAGGCTTGGCAGAAGCGGCGCTCTTCAGATGATGCAGGTGAGAATGGTCACCCTCACCTCCTTCCTTTAGCCCCTCTTTCAGGAGTCCCTCCTAATTTGCCTTTCCTCCTCCTTTCCCATCCCTTCCCCACTCCAGGACCTGGAGCCTGGAAGCCCCCACCACCGCCCCAGAGCACCAAGCCAAGCTTCAGTGCCATGCGCCGAGCAGAGGCCACATGGCACATAGGTATGGAGTACTTCTTGTCGGACAGCTACACTGAAGGCTTGGAGTGCAGCAAAGGAACTGAAGCCATCGCCCCCACATTGGGGAATTTATAAGCAAGGCGGGGCAGTGAGAAGTCACCAGAGTGAAAATGCTTACAGATATTTACAAAGCTACATCCAAAAAATAACAGACAACTCAGCCCAAAATGTTCTGCAGAAGGAAAGTGGCTTTACCAGTGTTTGCAGACAGAAACAATGTTTTGTGGTCAGTTCCAGGGAACCTTCTAGGGCAGGCCCTGGGGCTGCTACCAGCAGAGCACTGCTACAAAAATGGCCTTCCTCTGCACCTCAACTGGGAGAGAGGATGGGCAAGTACAGCCATATCAGGCCCACCTCAAACATTCCAGGCTCCTCCACAAATAGCTCACTAAGCCATCCTTAGCTCACTCAGAAAGGTGCCACAAAGAAGCAGCAAGAACACTTTCTTGGAGGGTTCACAGGGATAGGAGACAGAGCTACACATGGCCTTTTCCCTGTTGCTCAGTCACCACCAGTGTATGTTGACCTTTACCAAGTCATTTATGACTCCGGAGGAATAAAGGGGGGAGGGGATTATGATATGACGCTTCCCTTCTGCTGAGTTCAGAGCACCTTTCACTTAGTGAACTCTGCAGGAAAGCTGGTCAGCTCCACATCAACTTAAGTGCCCACAGGCCTGGACTATGACCCTCCAGCAATAGACATGGACTGATCTCCCTGTCAAGGTTGATGCTTATTCGCCTGCCCACTCTCACCCCAAGGCTAGCTTAGGAGGAGGCTGTAAGAGCCAGGCCAGCCCTGTGCCTTTGCCTGGCCCTTCTCCAAGGCCACTGGGGGCTCTGTGCCATCCCACACAGCTAGTTAAAGTGGGCCTCTGCCCTTCGTTTAGGAAACCACAATAGTCAGATGCTCCACTGTGCACACTCCCACTGCCAGCACCCTCCAGGTCCCTCTCACTCACATCTCACAGATCCCTACACAGACAACACCTTCCAGGTGACATCCCCTCAGCCTCAGGCTGCATAAAACCATTGGAAGGAGAAGGGGGAAGTAAGAGTGCCAGGGCACCTCACCTCAAGGCTCTTAAACCATCTAAATCAGGCTGGCAGGCAGAGTCCTGGGAATGCCAGTCCGCAGCCTTGGCAGGAGCCTGGGACACTGCAGCCCTGGATGGGCAGCCCTGCCCATGAACCCAGCAGGCCCTGGGCCCTGGCTCGCCCTGGCAGGAATGGGCTCTGGCCTTGATGTTCAGGAGGAGCAGCCAGGCCAGACCTCCCTCAAGGTGACAGGCTTAGGGCAATCCTGGGGACCAAGGGCTAAGGAAATGTGGGAGCAGAGGGGCCATGCAAGGCAGAACATAGGAGCAAATGGCCTTGGAAGGGGGAAGTCCTGGCCTCCAGGGCTTCACAGGGATAGGAGACAGAGCTACACACAGCCTTTTCCTGAAGTTTCTCCTCTCTTCTCATCCACAGCTGAGGAAAGTGCCCCCAACCACAGCTGCCAGAGCCCCAGCCCAGCTTCCCAAGATGGGGAGAAGGAGAGGGGCCTATTCCCAGAAAGGACGGTTCCAGCCAGGAATGCCAAGGTGAGGGCCAGTGAGCAGATGGGAAAGGTACTTTGATGAGGCAAAAGGACTAAGTGACCCAGCATCTTCCTTCTTCTGCCAGCTGCAGGACCCTCCTTTAGCTCCACGGCCTCCCAAGCCAGTGGCTGTGCCCAGGGGCCGCCATCCCCCCCATGAGCCAGGGGGCAGGGAGGAGGCCGAGGCTGGGGGTGCAGCCCTAGGAATGAATAACCCCTGGCTGAGGCTGGGCTCACAGCAGGACCAAGAGGAGCCTGAGGTCCAAGGTCTGCCACCTGACTGGAGGGGGTTCGGGGCACCTCTGGGACCTTGCTGCCCACATCGGGTCTCCTTTCCGGGCATGGAACAAATCACAGCCCGGATGAGCACCCAGCCTGTGAGCTCCACTCATGTGCCAGGCCTGGCTTGACTGTCATTTCAGGGCCCCCAGATCCAGGCCGCCGGACTGCTCCCCTGAAGCCCAAGAGGACACGACGAGCACAGTCCTGTGACAAGCTGGAGCCTGACAGAAGACAGCTCTCTGACCCTACAGGTGCCAGTGGGGTGGACAAGAGGGCGGTCCCACTTCCCACCCATCTGTCTGACATGGCATGCCTCACACCGGGTGACTGGCTCTCCCTGCCCAGGAAACAGGGCTCCCTGGATTTGTCCCCAGCAGGGACCAGTGAGCCCGGAACAGACTGACAGCTGCTTCGGCACCCTCACCAGGCCTCCTCTTGATATGTGCCTCACAAGGACTCTGACCCCCACCCACCTCTGTACCTCCAGGCCCTTCTGCCAGCCTGTCCCACAGGGGCAGGACAGCAGGATGGGGCATGGGGGGAAGGAGGTGGGGGACAGGAAGGGAGGGAGCAATCTGGAGAGATGCCTCGCTCGCTCTGTAGAGAGCTTCAGGGTGGGGCCAGTTCCTCTCCTGGGAGGGCAGATCTGTCCCTCTATCACCAGAGGCTCTCTCCCCACTTGTATAAAATAAAAAAAACAAAATCACTGCCTGCCTCATGTCTCTGCTATCTTTCCCATTCACTGTCCTGTGCCCCACCATTTCCTCCCCTTCAGTGCTCAGCCACAGTGGAGAAGAGAAATGGGGCTGGGGCCCTGAGCAGAAAGGGAAAGACCAGAGAACTGCTTTACAGGAGGGAATTGAAAAGTCCCCACACCAGGGTGGTTGTTACTTGCAGGATCTGAGCTGGCCAGAGAAGGGACAAAAATGACAGAAACAACACCAGTGTGTGTCCAGTTTTGGCAGGTGCAGTAGGATTAGAAGACACCAGTGTCCCAGGAGATTGGGGAACAATGTTCTAGGGTTGGGGGTATATGTTTACACACAGGCAGGCTCAGAGATGGTGGAATTAGATGGTGGTGTGTCATCCTGGGGGCACCATCAATAGTTAGAAATCTCAGCAATAAAGGGACCTGAAGATGAAGGGAAGTATCTGTGGTGTGAAAAGATCAATGATTAAAATAATTGTTCCCATTGGTGCACAAGTATGACCTTGGCATTCAAGACTCTGCTCAAGATCCTCTTCCTCTGTGAAGCCCTTCCTGATGCCTTCCCCCAACATATTTACATTGAACTCTCCCTCTTTGTGGCCCACCACATCCTGTACAGGTCCATAACTTGGCACCTGTCACATTAAATTGCATTTGTGTATTGGCTTATCATCTCTCTGTGGGTCTGTCTGTTCTACATATGTGCACCTCCCCCAGGGATAGGAGCTGTGTCTTAAATCACCTGTATAGCCCCAGCCCCTGGCACAGTACCTGGCACCCAGGAGATGCTCAATAAATGGCTGCTACCTTAATATATGAGTGCTTAGGGGATGGAGGGTGAAGCCTTTGTGCTGGACCCTCCTGCATACTCATCCCAGATCACCATGTACCCAGATGTCTTCACATGTGGTGTCCAGCTCCCCAGGCAACTGCTCACTTCCCCTGGTCTCACTAGGGAATGACTAACATCTTGTTTCCTTAAGATCTGTGAGTGGCCCCTCCCACAAGGTTGTGATCACATGGGCTGGATCTCAGGGAGGGGGGTGAATTGTGGGCACTAGGATGATGGCTCATGAATACATCCTTCACCACTTGCCCCCACTGAGCAGCTCCTGTCTTCAGGGGGCTACGTGATCAGAATGTGAGGCTGTGTGCCCTTAAACAATTGTGTCCATTTCCTTGTCTCCCTGTTACAAGGTGGCTGGGGAAATGGACCTCATTCTCAAAGCTCTGTGTTTCAGCATGGCACATGACAGTTTCTAAGGAGCACGTGAAGATCTCCATTCTGTTGTACTTGGGTTGGCATAAGTGAGGAGTGTGTGTGTGTGTGTGCGTGTGTGTGTGTGTGTGACAAGTACAGCCCAGTGTTCTCTTATACGTGCCTGCGAATATCCTTAACAAGCATGATGTGGAGAGTGTTGAGAGACTGACCGTGTTTCCCTATATGGATCTGCAGAGCTGGAACTGTCATATGGATCTGTGGTGTCATGGTGGGTTTATGTGCAGCACCTGTGCATGTCAAGACATGCGCAAGCCTGTGAGTCATGGGTATATGTGTCTCCATCATTTCCTGGTGTGAATGTGTGTGTGCGCACGCACCACCACAATGTGTGCATCTTTCTGATGCTGCATGTGGGTGTGGCATGCAGGGGAAGATGTGTGTCACTGTGTCTGTGGGGGTCCTGCTTCTGAGCCACACCCCCTGCCCGCCCTCCTCCCCCAGTTCTGTGGCTCCCTCCCAGGCGGTGGCCCTGCCCTCCCCTCTTCTCCCTCCCAACTGGTCTGTGCGGGGTGGGGGGGGAGCTGGTGCTGCGGCCCCCCCACCCCTACCCATCCAGGCCATAAATAGCAGCAGAGCCGGAGCCAGAGCTGGAGCCGAGCTGGCGCCAGCGGCTGGAGCAGCGAGGGAGAAAGGGCCAGGGCCAGAGAGCTGGAGAGAGGAGCTCCCGACTACAGCCCAGGTGAGCCCACCCTGCCTTCCTAGCCCAGGCCCTGCCCAGCCCTGCCTGGCCCAGTCTCCATAACAATCTGTCCCCCAGCCCCCAGAGAGGTCTCCAGTCCTGCCCCATCCTCTCACCACCACATGCCCCTGCCCATCTCAGGGGACGCACAAGAACTGGAAGACTCGTACCTGGAAGGCAGAGACCCCCCACCCCACCCCTACCCTCCCTCGCATATCAGGAAAGGCACATGAGGTGAATAACAGGGTTACCCAGCCACAGAAGGGTTCCAGTTCTGAGGGAGGTAAGGGAACTGTCACATCCTCCTTGAGAAACACACACAACTAGGGGACAGACACACAGGGTGGGGCATTCAGACACACCAACGCACACTTGCTGGGGGAAGCACAACATGGGATCAGACAGCCTCACCCTGAGATGTGGACAAACAGAGATAGATGGACAGACCAGCCATGAACTCGGGCCAGCGGACCCCTGCCTGCTGCTGCCTGAGACTTGGTACCACTGTTGGGGGAAGGTGGCATGTGTGCAGCCCACAGGCAGCATGGAGGGGGCTGAGGATCCCCAAAAATCCTGTCGCTAAGAGACAATGCCAGTGCTGCCAAGAAGGGTAAGAACAGGGGAGGTGGGGCGGGAAGCGAGAGCTGTCCTAGTGGGAGTCCCTGCCAGAAGCCTGAAGGAGCTATCGGCAGGCTGGGGCTCTGCCTCTAACTCCACAAGCCCACCACCCCTCCCTGTCTGTCAGCCAACCAGAGGGTGAGTGAGGCTGTATAGGGGACAGCTTGGCAGGGCACCCTACAGCCGGCCTCCTCCTGCCTAACTCCATTCCAAGGCTCTTCCTCTTATGACTTCCGAGGGCCCCCCTACCCACTTCCCCACCCCCTCGCCCCAGTTCAGCTCCCTTGTGCCAAGACTGAGCGCAGTGCTGGCTCAAACATCAGTTGGGAAATAGCAGAAGGTGCTGAGGCAGCAGAAAGCAAGGATCAATAGATGGCCTAGAAGGTGAGACTGCCAGGAACCCCCTCAGCCCTCCAGCCCTCTCCAGCCCCATCCATGCATACCAGGCCAGCAGGAGTGACAGAACCACAGGGCTGTGCAGGTGTGGGAGCCTCAGATCTTCTGCCCTCCACTGCTCAGAGCTCCAGGGATGTTGAGCAGAGATTGGGGCGGGGCGTGGGGAGGGGGCAGGAGGTCCATGAGATCCCAGGGCCTCTGAAAGCAGGGCAGAGGTGGACTGGGGGGCAAGCTCTGAGAAGGCAGAGCCCCCCCTTAGCAGGTGTTCCCTTCCCAGTGTCCAGACCATCTGCTCTGTCCTCTCAGTGACATGTCGGACCCTGAGATGGGATGGGTGCCTGAGCCCCCAACCATGACACTGGGAGCCTCGCGGGTGGAGCTTCGGGTGTCCTGCCATGGCCTCTTGGACAGAGACACACTCACCAAGCCCTACCCCTGCGTGCTGCTCAAGCTCTACTCTGACGAGCAGTGGGTAGAGGTAAGAGCAAACTCTGGTCTTATCTTAACTAACCTCCTAGCCTGAGAAGGAGGGAGGCTATGTGGGGCAACGAAAGCCTCACTGGGGAATGTGAAGACTCCAGGGGACCTCTTCGAGGGTAACCCTGGAGACACGTGTGCCATCACTACAAACACAAACTGCTTTAAAGCTTCTAAAGCCCACAGGATCCCAGAGGGTCCTGTGATCACCCCAGAAGCAGCAGCACAGCTCCCAAAGGCCTTAAGAGCACCCCAGGGGGCTGTTGGGCTTGTGGGCTGGTAGCACCCTGATCTCAGGGTTCAGCCTAGGGAGGGAAGACCTAGTTGCTCGGGATGGGCACCAAGGAAACCTGGCACGAGCGGGGCAGGCCAGGGCAGAGAAAAGTAGCCTGGGTTCCCAGAGGGCCTTCACCCTTCTTGCCACAGGTGGAGCGCACGGAGGTGTTGCGCTCCTGCTCCAGTCCTGTCTTCTCCCGGGTGCTGGCTCTCGAGTACTTTTTTGAGGAGAAACAGCCCCTGCAGTTCCATGTGTTTGATGCCGAGGATGGAGCCACCAGTCCCCGAAATGACACCTTCCTCGGCTCTACAGAATGCACCTTGGGTCAGGTCTGTATTCCCAACCCACCCCCATCCACTTCTGCCTCTGATAGCCAACATGGCAGATCATGAGCTCTGGAGCAAGTCAGTCTGGGTTTGGAACCCATCTCCATCATTCACTGGCTGGGCAGCCTTGGACAAAAAACTTAACCTCTCTGAGTCTTAGTTACCTCGTCTAAACAATGGGAGTCATCTACCTTTCAAGGTTGCTGCTGAAATTAAGTCCAACCCTAACCCAGGTGCAGCCCCTATGGGCACTCAAAAGGGCACTCATTACCCCATCCCTTGTACCCTGACCAAAACAGGTGGGGACTTCACAGTTGGGTCTCCCTGCACTTCCATTCCCAGATTGTGTCACAAACCAAGGTCACTAAGCCATTGTTGCTGAAGAACGGGAAGACGGCGGGCAAGTCCACCATCACGGTAGGCAAGGTCACCTGTACTCACCCTTGAGTAGGGCATTCAATGTTCCTGCATCGACATCCATGGTGACATCATGCCCAGGACTGGCTCTCACCTCAGGGAAGGGGCATAGGGTAGCCCAGTGGTGGAGAGGGGAGAGGGGGGTTCCTGCCACTTGTGTCCCCCTTGCAGATCGTGGCTGAGGAGGTATCTGGCACCAATGATTATGTGCAACTCACCTTCAGAGCCCACAAGCTGGACAACAAGGTTGGAATCCCAGAGTTTGGGAATCTCCCACTAGAGAGCCTAGGCCCCCCAGCTCAAGACAAACCCCAAAGTCCCAGTGCTGCTCCCTTGTCAGTGTGAGCTGCCTGCAGACCTCACCAGGCTCTTGGGCTCTTTCTCCTGTGTCCCAGGATCTGTTCAGCAAGTCTGACCCTTTCATGGAGATCTATAAGACCAACGGGGACCAGAGTGACCAGCTGGTCTGGAGGACTGAGGTTGGTGCCTGGGGACATGGACAAGGCGAGAGGGAGAGCAGAGTGGGGAAATCTAATAGAGTGACCAGCTCTCTGGGGCCTTCTCAAGGTGGTGAAGAACAACCTGAACCCCAGCTGGGAGCCGTTCCGCCTGTCCCTGCACTCCCTGTGCAGCTGTGACGTCCACCGGCCACTCAAGGTAAAGCCCAGCACAGCACAGGCAGCCGACTGGAGCACCTCGCCTCTGTCTGAGACCTTCCCCCCCTGAGTGTGGCAAGCCCCTTCCTTCTCCCCCATGTGATAAGCCCTTCCCACCACAGGATAAAGAGGGGGTCACAGCTCAATGCTCCTACATTGCGTGCCTTTATCAGAAGCTAAAGAGCTAAAGTCCTTGCCAGATTGAGCCAAAGTATGAAGTTCAGGAGGTAGCCTCTGGACAGGTTGAGAACATCTATTTAGCATGAGAGAATGCGAAGCCCCAACCTCCCTGAGTCTCCCCCCAACCCTCAGAAGTCACTGCAAAGCAGCCCTGACCCTGAGCCCACCTTGCCTTCTCAGTTCCTGGTGTATGACTATGACTCGAGTGGGAAGCATGACTTCATCGGCGAGTTCACCAGCAGCTTCCAGGAGATGCAGGAAGGAACAGCAAGTCCTGGGCAGGAGGTATCACAAAGGCCCTGCCCCACCCCCAGAATCCCACCCAGGTTCCTGGGAGAATCCTGAGGGTGCTGAAGAGACCACTATACATGATAGGAGGTGGACAGGGTAGAAAGCACCCAGGCTCGGCCTAAGGACTGAGCCATGGTGATCTTGCTCCGGGAGGTTCCTCTGGAAGGAGGTCAAGGGGTCACCTGATGGTATTGTGACCCTGGTTTGTGAACTATGTGGGGTCTAGATGCAGTGGGACTGTATCAACCCCAAGTACCGGGACAAGAAAAAGAACTACAAGAGCTCAGGAACAGTCGTGCTGGCCCAGTGCACGGTAAATCCCAGTGCCAGCCTCCAGCCCTGCCCCAGCCTCATCCCCTGCCATAAACTAATTCAGCCCTGTCCTTGTTTCACTGCTTCTGGGAAATGAGAATCCTTGCCCTATCCCACTGTGAATGTCAACCTCAAAAACTCTGGTCCCTTCACACACATACCCCACAGAAGTCCCACCCATCTCCCTCCTCAAAGGGCCACCCAACCACTTTACCTACCCACCTCCTGCTAGGTGGAGAAGGTCCACACCTTCCTGGATTACATCATGGGTGGCTGCCAGATCAGCTTCACGGTAAGCTAGGGTATAGGGACCCGGGCAAGAGGGAGGGCCTGAATACAAAGTGAACAGAAGAAGCCTGGACTCTCCACTGCCCCTACCTGGGCCTCTCATGAGCCTTAACATTGTCAGCTTGTAACACCAACCCATCATGAGGAGGCCACCTGGGGACTCCCCCAGATTCATCTTAGTCCTACAGACCCTAGCTCTGGCCTAGCCTCTCTGTTGGTTCTCATGGATGCAGCACCACCCTTTCCCCACTTCCACCAGGTGGCCATCGACTTCACCGCCTCCAACGGTGACCCGAGGAGCAGCCAGTCCCTACACTGCCTCAGCCCCCGCCAGCCCAACCACTACCTGCAAGCCCTTCGGGCAGTGGGAGGCATCTGCCAGGACTATGACAGGTAGGAGGTGAGAGGCGGGAGTGGGACAGGCAGGGAGGCCTTGCCCATCGGTTCCCCATTCACAGCCTTTCCTTCTCCCCAGTGATAAGCGGTTCCCAGCATTCGGCTTTGGGGCTCGAATACCCCCCAACTTCGAGGTAGGCTGGGTTGGAAGGGAAGGGAGGAGATGGTGGGAGAGTCAGACAGGAATGACATCCCCTCACCGTCCTCACTTTCCCCTCAAAGGTGTCCCATGACTTTGCTATCAACTTTGACCCAGAAAATCCTGAATGTGAAGGTAAGAGGGGAGATCCCCACCAGCCCCACCTCTCCCCATACAGGTTGCTGCACAAGTCAGGTAGAAGCACAGACTCCACTCCCACAGGCCCAGCTCCCTGCCCCTTCACCCATCCAGCACGTGTCTTCAATTGGTTCCAGCCAGCATCTGTTCCCTCAACTCCCCCAGGGCCTGGACCATCCAACTGTCCTGCTTAGTGAAAACTAAGTGGGTGGGGCAGTCCTGAGAAAGGGAAGCTCCTTCATTGCTTTAAGGGGTGTCAGGAAGGGCTCCTTCCTGATCTCTGCCGGCCTCACCTTTTTGCCCACAGAGATATCCGGGGTCATAGCCTCTTACCGTCGTTGCCTGCCCCAGATCCAGCTATATGGCCCCACCAATGTGGCCCCCATCATCAACCGTGTGGCGGGACCTGCCCAGCGGGAACAGAGCACCGGCCAAGCCACTGTGAGGAAATTGAGCAGGCAATCAGGCGCTGCCCTGGGTGTCCTTGGGTGGGGCCAGGGCTAGGGTGCAGGGCTGGGGTGGGTACCAACCACCTTGTACACAGAGCCAACCCTTCCTCCCCTCTGCCTGTCGGCAGAAGTACTCTGTGCTGCTGGTGCTCACAGATGGTGTGGTGAGCGACATGGCCGAGACCCGCGCTGCCATCGTGCGCGCCTCCCGCCTGCCCATGTCTATCATCATCGTGGGTGTTGGCAATGCCGACTTCTCTGACATGCGGCTGCTGGACGGTGACGACGGTCCCTTGCGCTGCCCACGAGGAGTGCCGGCAGCCCGTGACATCGTCCAGTTCGTGCCCTTCCGGGACTTTAAGGATGTGAGTGTCCAGAGTCCCCCTCCAGGCCAAAGGACTCCTCAGCTACTGCCCCTAAATTTGCCGTCTCTGCCACCAGGTTCAGGCGGAGCCCAGCGGGCCACCCCGAAGCCCCGCCCCCTTACCTGACTCCGCCTCCCCCACTCCCGCCTCTAACTGGGTCCTCCCCTACTCCCTAGGCCGCACCCTCTGCGCTAGCTAAGTGCGTCCTGGCCGAGGTGCCGCGGCAGGTGGTGGAGTACTATGCCAGCCAGGGCATCAGTCCCGGAGATCCGAGGCCTTGCACGCCGGCCACGACCCCCAGCCCAAGCCCATGACTGCCTCCCACCGGACCAGACATTCCCTCAGCCTCTCAGTGAGTCCTTGGCGGACCAATGGGGTGGACATTAGGGGATGCCATGTGGGGTTTGGTGGAACCCATCTTGGCTGGGTTTAGCGTAAAGAAGAGTGCTTATGAATATCCCACCCTCTTCCAGGTGCCTGTCCTGACCCTTGTGACTCGAGTGACCAGTGCCTCTCCCTCTTGGACCAGCTGTGTGCCCTGGGTCCCAGAAGTGAGTGGTGAGCCCTGCCCATCTCTCCAGGCCCCATACCCCTCAGCCGTGTGGCCCCTCAGTGACTTTATCAATGATCCTGAATTCCTGGCAGTTAATAAAGGGACCCACTCCTAGCACCTCAGCCTGCACTTATCATGCCTCAGATGCCCACTCGGCAGTCCAGAGCACCCCCATAGACACCATTAATGAAGGAGGCCAGCATGGTTCCAGATCAGTCAGAGCTCCCAGGCAGCCTGATGTCTCTATGTTCCAGCTTCACCCGAACCGTACACCACTGGGATCTGAGGAGTCTGCCCTCACCTCTCAACGCCAGGGGGCGCAGGCACCATGGGGCTTAATTACCAGAGATGAGGGGATAATAAGGGGCTGTCAGGGGGGTAGGCTGATGCCTCTCACAGCTGTCTCCAGAGAAGCCCAGCTGAGTCCCCCACAGGCTGAACTCCAGCCCCCACACAGCTGTGGAGCAGGCCAAGAAAGGTGCTGGGGCACTGAAGGAGGGCAGCAGACCTGCCAGTTAATTATGAATCTCAGGTCTGTGCAGCCTGGTGTTCCTGGGTATGTGAATGTGTGTGCATGTCTACACACTGCACCTCCCTGACTCTCCATGACTATGGCCTCAGTTCAGCAAGTCAGCTGTGGACTGGACATTAACAACAGAAACAAACATTGTTTAGCATCTGAGATGCTTTGTGCTAAGTGCTTTAAATGCATTTGCTGTCACTAGGTAGTTACCATTATTTTCCCTGTTTTTCTGACAAGTCAAGTGAAATTTGATTTAAACTCACCCATGGTCAAAGAACTGGTAGGCCTGGAACTTGAGTGCAGGCCCATCTGACTAAGGTACCCACACTCTTAACCACTTCTGTGCAACTTTGGTGTAACCCTCATGTTGAGACCCAGGTGTATGTATATGTGGCTGATTGTATGTATGGGTGTAGGTGCCTTGTAGATGGGCGTCTCTGCCCATGTGTGTAACTGTTAAGGAGGGTGTGCAAGAGCAGTACTGGGTCTGGATTACAGCTCCAGAGAGCAGGACACAGGTGATGTCCAGAGTCAAGGAAAAAGAACTGAGCTCCTGGACTGACCCTCCCTGCCCCAGCCTCTCCCTTCAACTATGCATGTGGAAGGGGATGAAGAAGAGGCTAAAGGTGCCATAAGCCAGAGACAGAAAGGGTAGCCAGTGGCCAGTGGTGGGAAAGAGGGAGAAGGGAAAAAAATCCTGGGGGATACTGAGGAGAGGCTTCCCATCACAGGCTCTTGAGTGGAGGAGGGATGAGCTATAGGAGGGGGAGAGAATGAGAACTGTGATGGGAAGAGGCAGATGGGGTGAGGGTAGATAGAGGGGGCAGAAAGGAAGACATATGGGAGCCTCTTCCCTACCCCTAACTGCTTCTCCCCATTTGTTATGTTCCATAGCCGACCTACAACAGTGGCTGGTGAAGTAGCTGCTCCCAGCTCAAAGCCTCTGCTCTTCCCAGAGCCCCCACCCATTCTCTCCCTAGGCAGATGAACGGAGAGGGCTGGTAACCATAGCAACTGTGAGACCTCAGGACAGCCATAGGCAGGCCTGGCCTCGTCACTGCTGTTCCGGGGCTTCAGTGCATTGGTGGGGGAAGAAGGGGGTGTTCCATGTGGCTCAATTCCCACCCCCCAACCCCATTTTCACTGGGCCTCCAGAACTGAGATGCACCACTCAGCCCAGGTAACACTTCCCAGTTTCCCTGTCTTCCTCTCCATCCTTCCCTCCCTTTCTCTCTCCTCTCTGTCACACACACACACACACACACAAGCTCAGAGCAAGGATAAAAAATGAAAAATCCTTAAACTGCAGGAACATTTAACCAATAGTGTAAAGTTCTGCCTGGACTTAAAGTTTAATTCACAAAAGCTGCATTCTCTCAGCTCCTTGTCATGCTGGGAATAGTCTCACTTCAGCCCTTAGCAGAGGCACCCTATTCAGGTCTGGAGGCTAAGGCAGCCCAGAGCCCAGTGCATGGCCCCATCCCCTGCCTAGACTGCAGTTAGAAAGCTGGAGTAGGACAAAAAGTCCCTTTGGTGAGGTTATCTTGGGGAGACCATTGGGACTGCACATTAAGGAGATGCCAGCACTGGAAAGGTGTCAGAAGTCATTCAATCAAAATGAGGACTAGAAATAACCAAGACCAGGGGAGCTGATTTGCACAAGGTAACAAAGGTATCTGTGGCAGAGCTGGACTAGCACCCAGGTCACCAGACTCCTGCCTAGGGTTCTCTCCCAGCCCACACCAACCACCCAAGCTCTTCTGGCCTTTGCTGCTCTGGGCCCTGGAGGTAACTGGGTTGGGTTGAAAGAAAGCCTCTTGGATAGAGTTCTAGTCTGTATTGCTATTGGCAACTGCAATCTTGAAAATGCCAAAATCTTAAAATGGGGAGGTTACAAGCCTGGGAATGAAAATATAGCTTCATTGCTAATTACCACCTTAATGCACTATAGGTTGAGAACCTTGAATTAAAATCTAAACTGAGGGAGGAGCTGCACCACTCCCTCACCTCCCAATCACCAGTCACCCAGCCATGCCACCCTCCACCCAAGTGCCTGGCACTGGCTCCTACAGATCTATGTCCCGATCATGTGGGGTGGGGAAGGAGGTGGAGGGTGAAGGGACGAGACCCCTCTTCCAGAAAATAACCAGCACCTAACCTACGGACCATGCCCTGCGAGTCCAGGTAGTTTGGGGAAACGCGTGGTCATACAAGGGAGCGCCTGGCACCTGAAGGCACTCAGTAGCCATCTGGAGAATGGTACAGGTGCCTATTGGGTGGTCCCCACCCCCCGCCACCAGTCCACCACTCCGTGGCCCCAAGCGACTCAAAGGAAGAAGTGGGAGTGGTCCCCGGACCCGGGGCCGCTCGACGCCAGCCGGTCACAGCGAGCCTTGTAGAGGTCCCGCTCCCTCGCCAGGCGTGCCACTTCGGTCCTCAGTGCATCCAGCTGGGCGGCCAGACGGGCGCGCTCGGCCTCCAGCCCGCGTCGCTGCTGCAGCCGCTTGGAGCGACAGGCCTGCGCGTAGCCGCGGTTCTTCAGTGTGCGACGCCGCTGCTTCAGTCGCAGGGCCTCGTCGCGCCCGCAGCCCCGCAGCTGCCTGTTTAGCTCCCGCACCGACATCGACACCAGTGCCGCGTCCGAAAACCGCTCAGCCAGCTGCAGAAGAAGCAGGTAGAGTCCGGGCCAGCGCCGGTCCCCGGCTCCCACCTGGACCTGAATGTTCGCTCCTCCAATCAAAGTAGTTCGCAGTCTAGACCCTCACTCGCCCGGGCACCTCCACAGGTACCAGCCGGCGGAACCTAGCCCCTTTGCTCCGCCCCGCACTGAATGCCCGCCCCCCGCGGTCAGGTGAGCCAATCGCGCACCTGAGCCCCTCGCCGCCCCTGCGCAGTGCTAGCATCCGGCTCCAGGAACCCACGTGGCCCTGGACCCGGGTCCAGACAGACCCCGCCCCTCCAACACACCTCTCTGCTCTGCCCTGTACGGAAGGCTGGAATCCTGTGACCCCAGAGGATTTGGATTACGTCCGAATGTCCTCAACAACCCCATCTGTGTCTATAATTAATACGATGAGCCCCAATCCTTCCTGAGAAGGTTGGGGGCTGGGGAGGCATGAAGTCACCAAAAGGCCAACCTCATTCCCGTTCCCAGCTTTAACTCCACCCCATTCTACACACAAGCCTTTCCCTGGTTTCCTCGGCTATTTACCTCCCCGTAGTCAGCCGCTGTCTGATGCCCTTTAATTCTCAACTCCTCCATTTCCATCCTCTTGTAACCTTATCTTCTCCCTCTTCTTGGGGTCTGACCTATTCATTTCCCTCCATTTGTCAAAAAGGGAGGCACAGAACTCAGTTTTCTCTGATTTCTTAAAGGGCCCTTCTTTTTCCTGCCCTCTGTCTCCAGTCAGTAACCCTCTCCGGCAACAACGCTCCTCATTCTCCTGGGCTGTCGCCTCACCACACCGCCCAGAGGTCAGCTCATTGATCACTCACCTGGGCATGCTGGGCTCCTGTCTCCTCTGGGCTCCCTGGGTAGTAACTGTGAGGCCCCTCAACAGGGACTGGGCCCTGACCCTGCAGCAGCTCCACAGCCTCCTCAGGACTCAGCCCCAGGGCCTCCCCTGTCCCCAGCTGCTGCTGCAGGGTGGCCAGCCAGTACAGCTCCTCCAGGCCTGCTCGGGGGTCCTCTGCAGCCCCCACCATGCCTGACTCACTGAAGGTGGGTGAAGGAGGTACTGAGCTGTAAGGTGTGGAGCCCATTGAGGCTGTTGGGGGGCCAGATCGCCCCTCAGAGGGTTCTCGCTTTACCTCAAACTTCATCAAGTCAAAGTCATTGACATATTCCATGGCCAGGGGGCTGGGAGACAGTGCCATTCTGGGGCTGGATTGGGAGGGGTGGGGTGCACCTGCAAAAAAAGAGAGTTTTGGAGCACCTGCAGGCTGCCTGCCTGCCTTCTTCACCAACAACTGCTCCCCCCAAAACCCAAGTGCCCTGGGGAGTCAGAGTTCTGGAAATCCAGGGTCATTATTAAGCCTTGTTCCCTGAATATTCACCTCTGGGTTGGGGGTAACATTACAGGTGGCATGGACTCCTGATCAGGGCTAGCAGCTTAAAGGCCTGAATGAGGGGGAGGATAGCACATAGCACAGCCTCTGGCCCCACTGGTGCCTCTGGGACCTATGAAAAACAAGAGGAATGTGGCAGTGCTCCCAACTCCAGCACTGGGACATGCTGAGAGGCTCTGTTATCTCAAGAGGCATCATTCCATTTCTAAGCAATTACAATTTTTTGCTTAATTAACTGTAGCAGAGCATGTGTATATTTTAGGACAATGCAATGGCATATATGCTGTGAATTTTAAAATATAAGGATAACAAACTGCTATACCTGTCTCTCAGAGCACCCAGTCCAGTGCCTTGCACATAGAAGACCCTCAGTGTTCTGTCCTATGGATTAATCAATCAATTCATCCCTTTTACAGAAGCAAAAGACTTCCCAAGGAAACAAGAATGATACTAGAATTAGTTATAGAAAGATCAGGACTGAGTGGTGACCATCTTTCCCCAAGGCCAATCTCTCCAATGGGAACCAACCAAGACTGGTTTTTCTCCTTCTGTTCAGCACCTGCCATGTTATGTGAACTTCAGCAGATCACCTGACCCTTTTTGACTCCAGTTTCCCCTTCTGTTCAGTGAAGGCAGTTAGACTTTAACATTTCCCAAAGAGTGTTCTGTGAAACACTAAGTCTGAGAAATACCCAAGAAGAGGTCTGTGTTTAGGTGATTTTGAGAAATGTTGCCTCCCATCCCCACCTCTTGCACATTCACAAAGCACCATAGCATATCAATCTGAGAAGTCCTTCAGTAGACCATACATTCAACTTCAATACAGGGTGTCCCAAACTTATGTCACCAAGGAACTCTCCTCTCGTGTTATCAACCATGGAGCATGTGCTCACCTGAAGAACCTCTTGCTAGATAACCTCAAAGATCCTTCCCAGTGTGGATGTCCCAAGCCCTAGCCCAGCTCCCAGTTCCAAAAGCACCCCTCTCTCCCCTCGCCCCCACCAAACCCCAGAAGGGGCAAGAAAGAGAATGCTTATCGTGGGGCTTAGACTTCAGCTCCATCTTGGTGCTCCAAGCCTAGGTAGCCCTCTTTCCAACCACACCTCAGACCCTCAGGCTCTGCCCAGAGAGACAGGAGGAAGGACAAATTCTCTTGCTCTTCCTGCCACATGGAAAGGTTGCTCACCCTTGAGTAGACAGAGGGTTTGGAAGAAAGACACAGATAGAAGGAACTGATTATTGGAAGGAAGAAGGTAAGACACTGAGAAGGGTGTCCAGAGAGCGGGGGGAGTAGTTTATCTTTCTGATATGACAGCAGTGAGGGACAAAAAGCCAGTCAGGGTGGGAGTGGGGCAGGGGACAGAAATGTGAGAATTCCTGAAAACAGACAACAGTGAGCAGACAGCAGATGTCAGAGGGAGCTCTAGGTGAAAGGCCTGGCACCCAGCTAGGCCCCAGACATACTCACTTTAGGGATGGCAGAGATGATGTGGTCAGTGTCACAGGCCAGCAGGCACAGCTTCCCCAGAGACTGGAGGCCCCATTGAGCAGGGCCTAGTGCCCTAGTGCTCAGAACAAGGGGTTGTGGACACAGAGCCCCCAGGACACTCTTAAAGAACTGGCTCTCTGAGGTCATCTGTGGGCCTCAGGCCTCCAACCAATGAGGTAAGGGGATCATTTGCATATCTCATTGGCCTGGGGTTTTGAGGGGAATGAGAGGAGAGGACAAGAATACCTGTTCTCAAGGAAGGAGAGGGGACGTCCTCCCCAATAAAGCTCCTCCCAGATGGTCCCACCCTCATGAGCTCAGTTCCCCAGTACAGAGAGCTTCATACACAGTGACTGCCACCCGCATGTAAACACAGTCCTCAGGGCTCAGAGACTGAAAGCCTGAGATTGGAAAAGAGGGCCAGAAAAGCTCCCAAGCCCTCACCTGCTGAGGCTCTGGAGCCCCTTGTCAGTGTTTTGGGGGATAGAAGCCCTCCCATCCCACACATTCTGTCCCCTGCTTTACTTCCACCATGACTAGCCCCATGCCTCTCACAGCTATTGCATCTGAAAGATAAGGAACCATCCCCACAGTGAATCTCCAGACATGGCCATCCAGTCCTCAGCCTCTCTCCCATACTTGCTGACCCAGGTCCAGGACAGGTATCCCAGCTAGGAGAAGAAACAGGAAAAGGGAGAATGGGCAAGTCTGCTCCTTCCTTCCAGGCCACCGCAGGACACTGAAATCTAATCACCACCAATCCATCTGAGGCACTTTGAAGACTGCCCTCACATGCCCTCTGCTTCCTCTTGCCTTTTCCCCGTGTGTGTGTCTGTACCTCTCTCTTCCTCTCTCACTCCTCCTGGTTCCCAGATGGCTGGGGGGTGACCTACATGTCCAGCCTAATCCCCTAACACCTCTTAGAGCTGTCATCCCCAAGTGGAAGTAGGAACAGGGATACTAGGAATTAGCCACGGAGATGTTTAAACCTGTCTGAAGATGTTTAAATAGGGTCTGTACTAGAACTCCAGGAGTTGAAGGCTTTACCCTACCTTTTGAGAGTACCCAAACATTCCCATGGGGCTAATGGGTCCTCTTTCCCCACCCAAAGGGAGCTAGGTGTTCATCAGCCCCAAGGTTCATCAATTATAAAAATTAACCTGGTCCCACAGTGACTGAAGGGGTATGTGGGGGGGACTTGGTGAAGGGGAGAGCCTAGTAAACATAATGTTCTTCATGTAATTGTAGATCAATGATACCAAAATAAAAATAAAAATAACTGTGGTTAAATGTGATTCTAATAATTCTAATAGTTAAGTGAACTAAAAAAATTCTCATTTAATAAATATATGTACTTTTGATTTTCTCACCTTTAATATAGCTAGCATCATATATTGAAACTAACTACAATCCCTGATTTAAGTATAAAAGAGAAATGAAAGACTTATTTTTGTAAAAAATGTTTGTTCTTTTCTAGAAACGACTCATGCTATTTTCAGATTAAAACAAAACATGTATAAAAAATTGTAATTTTCTTTATGACTGTGTGAAACTGGAAGTATAATGAGAAAACTATCCTTAGTTAAACATTTTTCATTGGTTAAACATGAAATTAATATGAATTCTAACTTGTTTTATTAAACACAATAATTTCACAGTAAAAAAAAAATTCAGACCTGATCATCTACATTTGCCCTCTTACAGCACTAAATTATGTTTTCTACCTTTATCTTGCATCTACCTACCACTTCAGCATTTTATTAAAAAAAAATATGGGAGAAATGTGGGATTCACATATAAATCAAGTATAAAAATCAAATGGATAATCATATCTGACTTGATTGTTCATAGTTCATGATGCGCGATCAAAACCGAAAGTTTCTGTGCTATGACTGCCCTTGCACTGTTCACCATGTAAGAACTTATTCACTACGTAAGAACTTGTTCACCAGGTAAGAACTTGTTCTTTATGCTTCAGAAGATTGGAGACTGTTGAGAGTTAGGCTTGGGGTTGATTAATGATTGTGCATTAAGTCCCCTATACAGAATTTTATTGTTGTTAACAACCATTTGATCAATAAATATGAGAGATGCCCTCTCAAAAAAAAAAAAATTAACCTGGTCCCAGCCTTAGGTGTTGGGTGTAGTAAAGTCAGATAAGACAGCGGTTCTCAAAGTGTGGTTGCCTTACCAGCAGCACCTGGGACCTTGTTAAAAGTGCAGAATCTCTGGCCTCTCCTCTACTGAATCAGAAGGTCTGGAATGGGGCCAAAAAATCTATGTTTTAATAAGCCTTTCAGACAATTCTGATGAACACTAAAGTTTGAGAACCACTGGTCTACAGAATGCCTACAGTCAACTCAGCTTCCCTTGTGGGGGATGTGTGTGTGTACGTGAGTGGTCTCTCCTACCATGCTCTCTACACACATAGAAGATGACCTAGATCAGATGACATCATTCTCTTCCCACACCTGGCCTGCATTTTGTCAAGCAGAGACCATTGTCATTATTCAGGTAGAAAGGCTCCTTGGTGCGATTGCCTGGATCTGGTGCTGATTTTACAGAAGAATGAAGCCCTAGGAATAAGGCCACAAAATGGGAATAGGGATCATGGAGACACAGAATCCCCCACACAAGCCAATGAACTGTATCTCTGAGGCAAATAGTCAGGAAAGAGACTCCAGAACTTCCCTAGCTGAGGAAGGAGCAGGAAATGTTGAATACAGGCCCTTTTTCATGCCTGGTCTGGCTTGGCCAGACACTTGCCCCCAAGCAGCTGTCAGGTCTACATTGATCTTCTTGTTTACTGGAGAGCTCAAAGGAGAGGCGGGAGGGCTAAGCTGCTAATGGGCTAAAGGAGTCAGACTAAACAAGCTCAGGCAAGCTGAGCCGGTCAGGGCCCAGATCAGGGACCACTGACCAGAGAAGGAAGTCTGGAAAGTGAGGGCTGGTCCACAGAAAAGGACCCAGGGCAGAAAGGAGAGGCTGTGACAGCCAGTGGGGAGGTAGAGGGGGTTAATGGGTCCTCTTGGCAGGGCTGAACTCAGAGGCTAGAAAATACATACAAAGACTGACTGGTTCAAGGACATCTGGGGACAGGAAACTGGGGATGAAGAAGATGAAGCTAGATGGACTCCAGGAATGACAGGCAGAGGAAAGGAGGAAAGAAGACTTAGCTAAGGAGGTAGTAGCCTTGGGTTAGAGAGTGGAGCAAGTCCGGAGATCCCCAAGGATTTGTGTTAAAGGAGACAGAGGGATATAGGCACATGGACGAGGTGGCCAAAAGGCCATGGGGGACTAAGAGAAATGAAGGCTTCTGGGAGGGAACCAAGAAGGGCGGAAGTGGTAACA